CCAGGGCAACATGTGTTCTTCCATGTTGCTGTTAAGTAAGACTTCCAAATAAGAGGCATATCATTGCATTATAGCAGCATAGTTTCTGTACCCACAGATTCTTCCCATTTGGGAATTTCTTAGACAAGAAAACACTGTAAATGATTAATCAAGTATTTTTGAAGATGATTAAGAATTCAGGAAAATATTTCTTTGTCAGCTGCTACCATTCAGCAGAATTCAGTAGAAGCTTTTCATACTACATCACTTAATCTACATAATGAGCTCAGTCATGAAATTTGTCTTGACTTCAGCAGCCTGAGCATGATTTCACTGTCTTTTACTCCAGCAGTTGTTTAGTATGATTATTATATATTCATGAATGTGCAATCCTTTCCAGTTTAAAGGATACTTAACACTGCAGTTTCTATCGATAAGATTTCAAAATCACTGCTACTACTGGTATTTTTCATGGTTTTACCTCAAATACTGTATGTTCTGAAGAATTCTTTATGCAAGCCTCTTCTAGCAACAACTGATTCTCATAAAATAGCATTATGGTTTTGAATATCACTCATTCTCCACCTACTACTACAGGACATAATGTACTGTCTTTTGACTGATGTGACAATATAACATTATAAGATACCCAGATACTTAAGTACCTAAAAAAAAAAAACTAAAACACTGAAAGAATAATGAAGTTACAAATTTTTAAACTCAAATAGCAGATTTTTATTAGCTGTTTGAGGAATTCACATAGTCATTAAAATAATGCCTGTATTTTTTTTTATAGCAACCAGATAGTATTCTCTAGGAGCTGCATATAGCTCTACAAGGATTTCACAACTGAAGCCTTTTCTAAATTGCTAAATTGTTGAAGATCTGAATATATGCACATGTGATATCTACTTTAGATAAGATTAGCAGAGAACCTAACAGTAAATGATTCTAAAGATACAGGAAGTGGGAAGAAAGGATTCAATCTAATAGCAGGAGTTATCTGAAGAATGCAATTTTCAAGCTACTCTGTAGAAATGTTGAAGAGCTTCATCTAGGAGTGTAGGAGCTGACAATGGCTATTGAGCACACTTGAGATACAGGAAAAGTCTGTAGGCAATTTACATTAATAAGCTATGCCCACAGGGTTATGCTCAAAGGCATCTGATGTCCAGACCAGCACTGCAATTTTGCAGTGAAGAACAGACCCATTTTTTCTTCTACAGAAAGAATAAACAGCAAAATGTGAACAAAGGAGATAAGTTGCATCAAACTTATAAAGGTACTAAGCTTTATAAGTCATAGACTAAATTCAGTAAAAATGAGGTCCAGGCCATAACACATCAATAGCTTCTATTCATTTCAAGAACTGCTTATCAAAAAACACTATTTAGCCATCAGTGATTAAGAACAGTGATATTATAACAAAGATTACATCCCTATCGAGTGTGTTACTTCATCTTGGAAATATACTATAACTTACTGAGAGACTTTTATTTGATCTCATGACTGCTGACTGTCTTTTGGAGCTATCTGTCCAAGTATGAGAGAATAAATAGGTGAGTAAAGGATACTAAAACAGGAGTCTGTTACCAAGAACTCTGAACAATTATGTTCATAGCAGATTTGCTTGAACTAATTACAACCGATTTTAATGTGAGACTGTTTAGATGTACAGCTTCTGTAGTTTCTGTTTTTCTTAATGTGTGAAGGGAAGAGGTGTTCTGAGAGTTGAATAGGTGAAATTGCTGGACTATTCAGAGAGCTGGAGAGTTGCAGGAAAAATGGATGCTAAATAAAGTAGCCATGAAGCACTGGGATAGTACCTTTAAGAGTGCTACAGAGTTAGAGCTTGCCTTCTGTTTTGGAAGGGACCTGATATACTTGACTGCAGGGGAGCCCTGACGATTTTACTACTAACTTCACTGAGGAGGAGACATATAGTTATCTTTCTGTATAAAGAGAGTTTACTATCCAGATGCTTTGCAGAACAAAGGTATCGTTAATTACTGAGAGATTAATTTGATCCTTGTAGTTAACCTTCTGACAAAATGAGATTTTATATCAGCTGAGAGAGACTGGGAGAGAGCTCTTATTTTTTAATATCGAGTCTTATACAGTTCATCAGCTTTACAGATTAGAAGTCTGACAACTCTTTATGTCTCCTAGTATATTACACTGGCTGCTCCACAGCAACAGACACTGATAGATATGCATTAGTTTTATAATGCTTAGGAAATTGGCAGTTAAAGTCTGTGCTGCTGTTCCTCCAGCACCACATGAAGTCCCAGATCCTTGCTGAAACATCGCTGCAGTGCAACAGATGAACATTACACAATAACAGACTTTGCTCTTGCAGAGCTCAGTGTTTTGTGCAGTATGATCATGACATTATATAGATGCATAGCTAACAAATTAGCACTAGCTCTTCAAAACAGTCTGATTCAGACATGATGTGATGTCACATATGCTCTCTCCTCAACCCCACACCTGATTCTACAACATGCTGTCTGCTCTGTGTAGAGCAAAACCTGAACAATTCTTTATTTGTTGGGGGGGAAGGTACAACTGCCTTATTTCTTCCTTTTCCCTATGTCTTACCTACATGAGCTGTTTGTACTGACTTTCATTAATTCAAAATCCCCAACTTTATATTGCTATTTATAAGCCCTTAAATTGCCTGGTGATACAGTGCCTAACATCAAAAACATTGGTTGAAAATTTCCTTTCAATGTCATTCAGCACAACTGTAGCACCAAAGATAGATGAGTGGTAAGACACCCTGACCACAAAGTTCTCATGTGCATGGCCTTACTGGAATTCTGTTGACATTTTAATAGCTATATAATTTTTCTTTTCTATCAAGGTGTTATAGTGCCCTGAATCAAAGTCTCAGGCAGGGCAAATGTTGTGTACTCTACAAAGGTGCACGGTGCACTGATTAATAAAGCCCTTTGGCTTTTACTGTTATTCGTTGTCCATCTTGCCAACTAAACACTTTTAAAGGGCCTGAAGGAATATTTAGAATGGAATTACATACCTTCCCAGAATGTAAATTCTAAATCTCAGTAAATAAGAGACGTATATCTGCTCCTGGAAGTGTTCCATGCATAAGTTCAAAGAAATTTTAGGAGAAATGTTTTGTTTGTTTATTTCAATTCTGAGAAAACAGCAAAGAATTCGAGTATCAAACCAACCTTCCAAAATCTTATTCAAAAAGTAGATGAAGGAATGCTGCCTTGCCTTGCCTTCCCTTTCTCTTCTGTTTTTTCCACTGAGACTGTGCCATTGCGGCTGTCACAACCAGAGCCTTTTAAAGCTTGCCACGTCCTATTGTCTGTGCCTGCAAGTCACTCTCAGCCTTTAAAGCTCCTTCCCCTTTGCTGGCTTCCAGGCAACATTCAGAGTGTTCTCCCAGTCTAATGTGTGTAATAACCATCACCCCTCCGACCCTGATTTAAGTGCAGATGAAGTGAACTGGAAGTCTCCAGGCTCTGTCACTGAATTGGTTCCAAAAGGTAAAATCTCCTGTAATGTGAAAAATGCTGTGGGATAGAAGAAGCTGTAAAGAATCTGAAGGTCACATACTGTCCTTTAAATTCATCCTATAGACTAACACTGAAGCCTGTGAGTCTTTAGTCCACTGAAACATTTCTTTAAACCTGTTTTTACATTTAAAAATTGAGTATGATATAGCTACATCTTGGCATATACCAATTCATCTCTGCCTTTCCCACACGTTCTAGTGTCTTCCATTCTGTTGAACTGATGAATTGATTAATGAATATTAACCATTGTAGTGCACATAAATCTGTGGCTATTTGTTGCTACATTGACAAACTATTCACCAGAATACCAAAAAGAGTTTTTCCCTCATTACTGAAAAAAAAAAGAGGTGATACATAAATGTTTTTTTGCAGTAGGGTGCTGAGGAATGTAAATTACTGATGATTAGTGTCCTACTTTTATTAAGAATGAAGTAGGGGTTTTTATCTATTTAGTGATTCTCTGGTCGATTTCTGGAGAACAGTATGCTTCCCTGGCTGTGGGAGGACTTTGTGTTTCCCTGGAAGTGCCTGTCCCTGCCTGCCTCTCCTGTCCGTTCTGTGATATAGTAGCCTTTTTTTTGTTTGTTTACTCCTTTCTTGTTAAATATTTTCAAATTCTCCAGCATACCTTCTGTTCAAGAGCGCTTCTTGAAGGAGCCAATTGATACCTGTTTATTCTTAATCCAGGAAATGACTAGTATTTTTAAACAGTGAAAAATCTAACTGAAGTTACACAAGTTCAGTTTCTGTACACAGCCAAAAGAGAATGACCAAACTGCAAATGAAGACCTTTGCTTCCCATTTTACAAAGCAGAACATCACCTAAAAATTGTACCACTGTAACAGTTACTTAATTTTGGAAAAAAAAAAATCTAGAGGCCCAGGAGAGCGATTTAGCATCCATTATACCTATTCATGTCATCACATTTAATAATGTAAGAAACCGTCTCCAGGTGCTTACAATGAAAGCATGTGGCAGGGGGCAATAGTTTAATACACAAAAGAGAGGAAGAAAGAAAAAGGTAAAAAGGAATTTGTTTTCATTAGTAAAATGAAAAGCAGACATGACCCAGAAATGTCTGGATAGGGTCAAGGGGCAGAGGTACATTTTAATAAGTCCTGAAGAAGACAGTACAATGGCTTAGTAAATATTTACCCAAATCTTCTTGGCACTACTTATGTAAAAATACAAAGTTCTTTTAAGTATTCTACAGTTTAGTTAATCAGAATCCATCCAAGGGAATGAAATAATCATAATTATTTCATAAATGTGTGTTGCCTGAAAATCAGTGTGTTTTGCTTATTTTTGTTTTGCTCAATTTTGTTTTATTCTTTCAGTATACTGCAGTTCCTCTACAGAGCAAGGTTGTACTAAAAGACTGATTTCCTGTGGTGTAAATTAGAGGTTCATAAGACTAGGGGACTTTCAGTTTTTCATTTTATCACCAGCTGTTTTGTATCCGTAAATTGCAGGTGAATCTGTCTGGAAAGTCTTCTTCTTCACTCCAAACTTCAGTCCGGAAGACTCCAATGGTTGCTATGATTCTCATGTTTGCTTCTGCCATGGAAGATTCATCACATGGCATGATCCCCCACTGCTCTTTGATCTCTCCACAGACCCTGAAGAGAAAGTCCCACTGACTCCAAAAACAGAGAGACGTTTCTATGAAATCCTCAGTGTCATACACCTAGCAATAGAAAACCACACCAGATCCTTGCATGCTGTCCCTAACCAGCTGTCATGGGACAACCTTCTCTGGAAACCATGGCTACAGCTGTGCTGCTCCTCTCTCCTTCAGTCTTGCTACTGTGATCATGACTCATAAAGGAGCCTGCTGGAAGTCAATTCAGGATAAATAAGTTGCAACTCCCTTTCAGAAGCTGGAACAAGAGAGTGTGGGTAACTGACTTGAACCACCATGGTACCAAACTTCAGAATGTTTTGTTATGCAGGAGCACCTGTCTTCAAATCACAGAATCCCAAGGGTTGGAAGGGACCTCAAAAGATCATCTAGTCCAACCCTCCTGCAAGAGCAGCGTAACCTAGAGTACATCACACAAGAACTTGTCCAGGCAGGCCTTGAATATCTCCAATGTAGGAGACTCCACAACCCCCCTGGGCAACCTGTTCCAGTGCTCTGTCACTCTCACAGTAAAGAAATTTTTCCTGATGTTCACATGGAACCTCCAATGCTCCAGTTTACACCCATTGCCCCTTGTCCTATCATCACTGGACATCACTGAAAAAACCTAGCTCCATCATCCTGACACTCACCCTTTACATATTTGTAAACACTGATGAGGTCACCCCTCAGTCTCCTCTTCTCCAAGCTAAAGAGTCCTATGTCCCTCAGCCTCTCCTCATAAGAGAGATGCTCCACTCCCTTAATCATCTTAGTTGCCCTGTGCTGGACTCTCTCCAGCAGGTCCCTGTCCTTCTTGAACTGAGGGGCCCAGAACTGGATACAATATTCCAGATGCGGCCTCACCAAGGCAGAGTAGAGGGGAGGAGAACCTCTCTTGACCTACTAACCACCCCCTTTCTAATGCACCCCAGGATGCCATTGGCCTTCTTGGCCACAAGGGCGCATTGCTGGCTCATGGTCATCCTCCTATCCACCAGGACCCCCAGGTCCCTTTCCCCTTCACTACTGTCCAGCAGGTCAGCCCCCAACCTGTACTGGTACATGGGGTTGTTCTTCCCCAGATGCAAGACTCTACACTTGCCCTTGTTGAATTTCATCAAGTTCCTCTCTGCCCAACTCTCCAGCCTGTCCAGGTCTCTCTGAATGGCAACACAGCCCTCTGTGTGTCAGCCACTCCTCCCAGTTTAGTATTATCAGCAAACTTGCTGAGGGTACATTCACTGGTCCCAGCACCAACCCCTGAGGGACTCCACTAGTCACAGACCTCCAGCTAGATTCTGCCCCATTGACCACAACTCTCTGCCTTCTTCCTTCCAACCAGTTCTTGATCCACCTCACTACCTGATCATCAAGCCCACACTTCCTTAGCTTATCTATGAGGATGCTGGGGGAGACAGTATCAAATGTCTTACTGAAATCAAGAAAAAACACATCTACCGCTCTACCATCATCCAGCCACCTAGTTACTTGCTCATAGAAGGCTATAAGGTTGGTCAAACATGACTTCCCCTTGGTAAAGCCATGTTGGCTGCTCTTAATGACCCCCTCATCCTTGATATGCCTAGAGATGGTGTCAAGAATAAGTTGTTCCATCACCTTTCCAGGGATGGAGGTAAGGCTGACGGGTCTATAATTACCCAGGTCCTCCTTCTTGCCCTTCTTATAGACTGGCGTGACATTTGCTATCCTCCAATCCTCAGGCACCTCTCCTGTTTCCCACGACTTACCAGAGATGATGGAGAGTGGCTCAGCAATGACCTCCGCCAGCTCCTTCAGCACCCGCAGGTGTATTCCATCCGGACCCATTGATTTATAGATGTCCAGATTACTTAACTGATCCCCAACTCAATCCTCATCTACCAAAGCAAACTCCTCCTTTATCCTGACTCCTTCCGGGGCTATAGGAATCTGGGTCCCCCGGGGAGAGTCTGCAGGAGTAAAGATAGAGGCAAAGAAGGCATTCACCACCTCTGCCTTCTTTATATCCTCTGTCTCCATGGCACCCACCTCATTCAGCAGCGGGCCTATAGTGCTTCTTGTGTTAGTTTTATTCGCTATGTATTTGAAGAAGCCCTTTCTATTGTCCTTAACCCGACTTGCCAGATTAAGTTCCAAGGAGGCCTTAGCTGTCCTAATTGCTTCCCTACATCCTCTAACAGCTGTCCTATATTCCTCCCAGGTGGCCAGCCCCTCCTTCCATAATCCATAGATTCTCTTTTTCTGTATGAGTTTGCCCAGCAGTTCCTTGTTTAAACATGCTGGTCTCCTGCCTCCCCTAATTGACTTCCTACCCATTGGGACACTCTGATCCTGAGCTTGGAAGAAGTGGTCCTTGAATGCTGACCAACTATCTTGAGCCCCTTTACCACCTAGTACCCTTTGCCATGATACTTCCCTTAGCAATTGATTGAAGAGGCCAAAGTTTGCCCTTCGGAAATCTGGAAATGTGGCCTTGCTAGTTATTCTATTCCTCCCACACAAGATCCTAAACTCCACCATCTCATGGTCACTGCAGCCAAGGCTGCCATTGACCATCACCTCTTCAACCAGATCCTCCTTGTTGGTGAGTACCAGATCCAGCAGTGCTCCTCTCCTAGTTGGTTCGTCCACCATTTGCATTAAGAAGTTATCATCAATGCACTGGAGGAACCTCCTAGACTGTGAATGACTGGCTGTGTAACTCTTCCAGCAAATATTGGGGTAGTTAAAATCCCTCATAAGGACCAAAGCATGTAGTCATGACGCTGCTTTCAATTGCCTGTAGAAAGCCTCATCAACTCCTTCATCCTGATCAGGAGGTCTATAATAGACCCCCACAACTGTGCCACCCATACCAGCCTGTCCCTTAATTTGCACCCACAGACTTTCCACTTGCTCCTCATTTGCCCCTGGAAATTCAATACATTCTAGTCGCCCTTTCACAAAAAGAGCAGCTCCACCACCTCACTTTGCTGATATATGTTTCCTAAAAAGGACATAGCCATCCATAACCACATTCCAGTCATGTGAGCTGTCCCACCATGTCTCTGTAATTGTCACCAGATCCTAACCTTTAGACCGCACACAGACTTCTAACTCCTCCTGTTTATTCCCCATGCTGCGTGCATTGGTGTACAGGCGTTTCAGGGAGCGAGCAGAGCATGCTAGTGGCATCCTTGGAAGGCGGGAGGCCTTCTGGTCTTCATACATACTAGAACATTGCCCCACTAGTTTAAATCCAGCTACAACCCCCTTGCACTTCGAATCTAACCTAGAGCTCTGTGAGTGAACTCTACTAACTCTTGCCCATGTACCCTTTTTCCCCTGCAGGACAGGGTCTAAACAACTATCCTTTCCCTCAAATGAAACAATAGATTGAGAGTCCTCCCTAGTCAGCCATCTTTCAAGCCCTAGCATGTTTCTCTTGGGCTTGTCCCCAACAGGCCCAGTTATCTCCCCTTCCTACCTAGTTTAAAGCCCTGTCAATGAGCCCTGCTGACTCCTGCCCCAGAAACCTTCTCCCCCTCTGGGACTGATGTATCCCACCTGCCACCAGCAAACCAGGTGTCTCATATAGCAGCCTATGATTGAAAAACCCAAAACCCTGCCTTTGGCACCAGTCACGTAGCCATATATTGATCTGCAGTCTCTTCCTATTTATCTCTTCACCTTTGCTTGTAACAGGTATGGAGTCAAACACCACTTGTGCTCCAGAACCTCTAACCAGCTGTCCCAGGGCCCTGAAGTCTCTCTTCATTGCCCTTGCCCTGCTTGTAATAATTTCATCACTGCCAACTTGAAAAACCAGCAGCAGATAGTAGTCAGAGGGCTGCACCAGATCAGAGAGTTTCCTTTTAACACCTCCAATCCGAGCCCCAGGTAGGCAGCAGACTTCCCTGTAGTTCCAAGACCTCATACCTGTTACTCAAGGGCAACTGGGAGGAAGGAAGGGATTGTGAGGGTTTTCACTTACCTCTCTGAGAAGGGACCTTCCTTCATACTTCCTTGTCCCTTAAGTTTACTCCTTCTATCTGATGGTAGGAGGGAAGGGGATCCATCACTTGTTCAACCACTTCCCTCTGCCCTTGCCTTAGGGTGTGGCTCCACCAATCAATTTCACTTTCACACTCTCTGATAGCTCTCAACCTTTCTACATCCTCCCTCAGTTCAACCACCTGCCTGAGCAGATCATCTGTTTGCTGACACCGCACACAAGCGGTGCCATTGGCTCTCTCGGATACAAGTGCCAGGCTCAGGCATTCACCGCAGCCAGAGACCTGCACGGCCGCACGTCTGCAGGAAGGCTCAGTCCTGGTACCCACGTTATTCCTCAGTACAGGTTTTGATCGTGTTGTGACCATGATCTATCTGGTCGATCGGTCCGTCTATGTCTCTTTGCACAAGCAAGCAGTCCTTCCTCCTCCTGCGCTCCAGTCGAGTCCTCTTGATCAGGCGGTCACCCCATTCGCCTGCCCGCGCAAACTGCCTCGCCGCGCTCCCTGAGCAGGTTTTTAACGGCTCACAGCTGCCGCCGAGCCTGCTGGCCCCGCCCCCGGTGAGTCAGCTGCTCGCCAGAGCTGTGCTGCCGCCTCCTGGACTTGAGGCTTTTGTCGCTCTGAGGTGAGGCTCCTGGACGCTGATCTCCCCCCGCTCCACTCCGGTGTTGCAGGCGTCCTCTCTCAATCTACTCACCTCAGCAAATGCATCATTGCAGAAGAGGATTTCTGTCAAGAAAATGTTCCAAGAGAAGGAGGGCAAGACACACCTTTTCTATCTTTATAATGCAAGAATCAATATGTAGCACATGCTGTCATCCTTATCTTCCAATAGGCAGGCTGTAGACACTTGCTAGATGAGATAATTATCTAGATATCTTCAGCTTCAGCTTTCTTCTTTCACAGCAAGAAATTTGCCTATAGTTTATGTCAATTACAATCACTAAATGCACACTTTCCTGTCCTTTTTGCTAAGTGCTACCCGGTATTAGTAGGACATTAGACAGCAGTTAAAAATACAGAGATAATAATGCAGAGGTCCACCTGTTACTATAATTTAGTAACTGATAGGTAAAGAGGACACCTGCAACAGCATCTCTATCAGGTATTATGGATATGAAAGTATAATAGCTTGCCAAAAATCTAACATTGCTTGTGCCATAATAATGTAGAGAGCTATGTAGGTAGCAAAGACCTTGTGTCCACATTAAAATAGTGCTTCCTAGCTAGTGTCTTACTGTATGGCGACAGCCTTTGTTTCAAAAGGAAACTATTTCAAGTATGCCTGAGTGTGTGCCATAAGTCTCCATATGTATATATATCTGCAAGCCAAATTCGTAACCCC